TGTTCTGGGGTCCACTGCCAGTCCTTTGCATATGCAGGTATTTCTGGATGTTCTCCCCACCCTCCTCTCCCTGCTCAAATCCTATTCATGACTCAGGACCCAGCTACAAGCCCTCCAACTCAGTGCCCAGTCTCTGGCTCTTTCAGACTCAGCCTCTTCCTGACATTACAAGGACTTGATGCCTCCTTCAAGGTGTAACTGTTACTGAGTTTACTTTGTCAATTTTGCTGTCCATCACATCAGTCCTGCTGAGTAGATGCTGCTTTGTTTTGTTTTGTTGTTTGTTTTTGGTATTTAGTGCAGGGTCTATAGGGACTACAGGGTCTTACTGCGTAGATCAGACTTGTAGTGATTCTCCTGTTTTCAGCTTCCCAAGCACTGGGATTACAGGCCTGTGCCACCGTGCCCAGTCTCAATCAGCTCAGTGTGTGCCGGGGGCAGGGCCGGCACAGCAGGCTGGGGATCGAACCACTGACCTCTGCCTAAGCAGATGCTTTAACCCACTGAGCTATCTGGCTGGCCCTGATGCTGTAACTATTACTCTTCCTTGACTGAGTTCTGATTAAGATCAGGTTAAAGACCCTGTCCAAGGGCACACCACTAATTAGTGGTGGAGTTACTAGTTATACAATGGGCTGTTCATGTGTCCTTCAAGACTGAAATCCCACACATGGGAAGACAGCGCAGGAGAATAAGCACTTGCCTGGCAAGTGCAGCGTCCTGAGTTCTAAACCCCAGTACCACAAAAAACAAAAACACCCCTGAAATCTTAGGAGAGCAGAGGTGGTGACTCGCTTGGTCACCCTGGTGTGGCAGGCATTTACAAGCTGCTCAATAAATATGAATTCAATAAATAATGTCCTTGAATGTCACTACCTTCTTTTTAAAATGATACCAGTTAAAGGCCCACGATTCCAAGTACTCTATAGGGACCATCCCAGGGACCAGGCATCCTCCCTTACTACCTGAAGACTACCTGGGCCACAGGTGGTCACTGGTCTGCCTGAGGCCCACAACAAACAGAGGCCAACCTGGGGCCCATCACCCATTCCCATGGCCCACCGTGCCAGGGACGTCTGCCTTCTCCAGAATACTGGGCTCCAAATCTCAGGTGTTGGAAGAAACATGGACAGTGTGATGATTTTCTCAAAGACATTCAGCCAATCGGCAAAGGTGTGTGCTGGGGACCTCAGAGAGAGGCCCCTTCCAAAGCGCATCCCTTCCCCATAGCCACGACAGGGCCCTGGGGTAAGTTCCTGGGCACAGCTCCCCAAGGCTGAGGGTGGCACAGGTGACCACTCCTAAAGAGGGTCCGTGAGACTCGCAGCCCCCTGGCACCACCTCCGGGGGGCTCCCGGGCACCCACTCTGCAGCGGGAAAGCGTGGAGTGCGGGTGGGAGCAGGCGCGAAGCTCGGCAGCTCCATCCAGATGTGAATTGTCCCTCCCACACTTCCCGGGCAGTGGGGGCCCCCATTAGAGCCCCCGAGGAGTCAGAATCCACACCTCCGCAAATGGGCCAGCTTTCCCAGGGCCCCCCTGCCCAGACCTTGCCTGGGCTCTGTGGGTTTTGACACCTCTCCGCAACCTGGTGGGAGGCCACCTAGCACCTTTGGTCGGGATAAAAGCTCAGGCCTGGAGGTGGCCCCAGCCTCCCGAGCCTGCAGCTCCGGCCATGGCCCGCTCCCCGCCGCCGCCGCCTCCGCACGGCCTCCTTGGCCTCGACCCCTGGGTCTTCTCCCCGGGCTGGGGCTGGGCCGGCCACGCGGACTCCACGTCGCCCGCCTCGTCCTCCTCGGACTCGTCGGGATCGTGCCCCTGCGACGGCTCCCTCACCTCCTCGCAACCTGTACCCGCGACCCGCAGTGCCCGCGCCGCGGAGCCGCCCGCGACTGCGCCCGGACGCGCGCGGCCCGGACCCGCAGGAGGACCGCGGCGCAGCGCCAGCGAGCGCGAGAAGCTGCGCATGCGCACGCTCGCCCGCGCCCTGCTCGAGCTGCGCCGCTTCCTGCCGCCGTCCGTGGCTCCAGCAGGCCAGAGCCTCACGAAGATCGAGACGCTCCGCCTGGCCATCCGCTACATCGGCCACCTGTCGGCCGTCCTGGGCCTGGGCGAGGACGGCCTGCGGCGGCGGCGGCGCCGGAGAGTGGACGCGGCGTCCCCGCGGGGCTGCCCTCTGTGCCCCGACGGCGACGGGGTGTCCTGGGGGTCCCCGAGAGCCTGCCCCGGGCGCAGCGCTGTGCCCGGGAGCCTGGGGAGCAGGGTCTCCGACGCAGATCCCTGGGAAACAACCCCTTACTGCCCCAAAATACAGTCGCTCCCGCACCAGCCCTTGGGGAGAGCCCCCGACACCGCTCTTTGGATGCCCTCCCAGGCCTGCACCGGGCCGCAGTCATCCCCAGAGCCCGCGAGCGTCGCCGTGCCCTGGACGCCGCCGCCTGCGCCCTCTGAGCTGGCAGCCGTGTACCAGGTACACACTGCAGCCCTGGCCCTTATTCCCGGGGTGATCCAGGACTCACTGGTAAATGAGTGGGTGGGTGGTTTCTGCAAAGGAGTCACACTTACGGGATCCCAGTTATCTTAATGGTGGTGGCAATGGCGGTGGCGGTTGTAGAAGGGACCATAACCTTGGGGGAGGAGGTAAGGGATGACCCTCGTCTTGCTCAGAGGCCAGGATGGAAGACTGGGGCAGGGGCTGCTGTGTTGGGGAATTGTAAGCACTTCTTTAAGGTGTTGGTGATGGTAAGTAAATACATGGGCTTGGAGTTGGAACCTTCACCATTTCTTCAGGCTTCATTCATTCATTCATTTGTGCGTGACTTGCAGTCTACAGAGGATCTATTAATAACCAAATTTTGCTCGATGTGGTGGCACACCACATCTCTGGGACACTGGGGCAGGAGGACTGCAGGTTTAAACTCAACCCAGGCAAATTAGGAATTGAAACTTTTAATTCTTTTTTTTTTGGTAAGGAATTTAGTTCACTGCAAAAGGCCTGGGTTTCATCCTCCATAGTGTAAAAAACAAGAACCAAAAGCAAATAACCAAGCTTTATTAAACACTTCCTGCCTGCCCCCTCTAGTTCTTGGCACTTGGTATGTCTTCATTCAGCCTTTCTAACAACTCTGCAAAGTGGGCATTAGCAGCCCCACTGTACAAATGAGAAAGCTGAGACAAAAAGAGGTTGCCTGCATCCACACAGCAATGAGGAGCAGTGCTGGGGTCTGAAGGTTGGCAGTGCGCTGAGGTGGTCACCTGAGGTGGTGACCACTTCGTTCACTGCACCCCACTAACAAGCTGTTTTCTCCTTCAGGGGATCTCTGCGCAGGACCCCTGTCTGTCACCGGGGAGTCCACCCCTCCTGGCCCGCCCTTCATGCCAGAGACTTCAGCCTCACACCCCATGGGGGTGTTGGGGCCACAGTGCAGAGGTGTTCCCCAGCTCAGAGCCCCAGGGACCTGGGCCTGCCCTCCAGCCCAGTGATGTGAACCCTGCCCAGAGCTCAGGCCTGCGGCTCAGCAGCTGCCCTGAACTTTGTCAAGATTTGGAGGGGACCCACCTGGATGTCTTCTACTAAGGACCGTGTGGATGCCCTTTGCAGCCTGAAGTCAGGCCCACCATGTGGACTGGTCATGTGCTTCTTTGGGACCTTTTTAAGTTTCCTTTTGCCAAGGAGCCCCTGTTCTATGCAACGCTTACCATCACAGTGCAGGAAAACGCAGATGGTGGGGGTCTTCCCTGGCCACAGCGGGGGCTGTAGCAGTGCCCTCCACTGTCTGGCACTGCCCTGCGGAGCCCTGTGCACCTCAGAGCATGGTCTAGGCTGCTCAGGCCAAGGCTCTGCTTGACCCCAAATGAGGCCAAGGTGGGACTGATGGGGAAGTGGGTGGAGCCAGGCCTGTGCCCTGCCTCTTGGTGACAGCTGGCTGGGATCCTGTGTGCTTAGAGATGCTATACTTCTTTTAAAAAGCAAAAATATACCTAGTAAAAACTTGGTTTGGTTTGTTTTCCTTTTATCCTTGTAGGTTTTGTAGGTTTTCTGGGAAAAAGGGATAGAATGGGGAACTTTGAGAAGCAATTCTGGCTGAACTTCTCCTTGAATCCAAAGCTGCCATGGTTGGCATGACCCATGCCCATCAGTGTTTCCTGGGCCAGGGCTGTGGGGTGGGGGCTGCAGCTGGCCTGCCGTGTGTGCAGAGCAGCACAGGTGGCTGAGGATTGTCACCTGCACACCACCTCTGCTCCCTTGCTTGCCTGCTGACCCATGGGGGTGCAGCATGCAGTTATAGACAGTTGGGGTCCCAGGCTGGGGACACCTGTGCTTTTGGGTGCCTTCACAGCTGTGTAATATTCTTTTAAAAGGATGCAGTGATTGTCTCCCATGTACTTGTATCTAGGCTGCTGTGGCAAAATGCCACCCAACAGGTGTTGTAGGAAACAAAGCCACTTTCTCGCTTCTGGAGACAAGATGGAACTGTGGGCAGGATTGTTCCTGAGGCCTCCTTAGCTTGTAGATGGCATCCTCCCTGTGTCGTTTGTGTCCTACTCTTTAGAAAGATACCAGTCGTACTGGGTTAGGGCCCACCCAGAGGATCTGATTTAATCTTAATTACCTCTTTAAAGGGCTGGGAAGATAGCTCAGTAGAATAAGCGCTTGCCTGGCAAGCGCAAGGGCCTGAGTTCAATCCCCAGTTCTGCAATAAATAAATAAATAAATAAATGGAGCCCTCCAAATTCAGCTCCATTCAGGAATACTAGAGGTTAAGCCTTGTATTATTACTATTATTATTATTATTATTATTTGTCTCTGTAACAAAATACTTGAGGCAAGTTACAGAGAAAAGGTTGGTTCTGGCTTGTGGCTCTGGCGGTCACAGGCTGAGTGGCCCCATTGCCATGGACCTCTGCCCAAGGAAGTGAATCATGACAGGAACGCCTGACTGAACAAGAGGCAAAGAGCCAGAGGAAGGGCCAATGCAGTCTCCTATGGTGACCACCACCACCGACCTCAGATCTCTCATGGGGCCCACCTGCCAAAAGTTGCACCACTTCCTGAGAGTACCACCCATGGAGTTTGGGGGACAGCCAACATCCAAGCGAGAGCAGGGCATACGCAGCAATTTTAGCGAGAAGAGGTTCAGCTTGTAACATCTGATGTTAAGCACTCTTAACTATGGGCAAGCTTTGAAGTCTCCCTGCCTCAGGCTCCTGAGGGCTGAGATTACAGGCACACACCACCACACCCAGCCAGCTTTTCTTTGGTATCAGGAGTCTTACATTTGGCACATAGTAGGTGCTCAATAACTAGTGGAGTAGAGACATTGCTTAAGAGATGACCTGGTTTCTGGGTGTGATGGTACACACCTGTAATCCCAGCACTTGGGAGGCTGAGGCAGGAGGGTAGTTGTGAGTTTGAGACCAGTCAGGGCTACAAAGTGAGCTCAAAGCTAGCCCAAACTGTATAGCAAGACCCTGTCTCAAAAAGAAAAAAAAAAAAAAAAAAAAAAGAGATGTGGTCAAGTGGCTCCTAAATCTGGCTAGAGCTTCGCGCAGAGGCAGTATTGTAGCCAGTGAGGCTTACCAAGGCAAGATCATTGCTGATTGAAACTAAGCCTGGCTGTGATCGAGTTCTTTGGGTCCAGAGCTGCACTCTGAGCAGTTTAGCATGCCAGGTCCTACGATCCTCTCTAGGGGTGCTGAGGCCCGGCCAGGTTAGGAAGCAATGGATCTTCCTTACCTCCTCAACTGATTGCTGGAGAAGCAGGCTCCAGCAAGGAAGCAACTTCCCATAGCCCCCGGGTGGTTGTAGGCATCAGGCCCCTGACTCCTCACCCCGTGCTCTCTCTTTCCCAAGGAGACGCAGGGTCTTGGCCCACGGGTGCACCGCAGGCAGAGCTTCCCTTCTGCAGTGCTCGCTGGTGGGCCTTCCCCAGCTCTGGGCCCTGCACATGCTTGGGTGGCATCCAGGACCAGAAGGGCCACAAGCTGTAGCCAGACGTGAGCATCTCATGCTTGCAGGCTGTGGCAGCCTTGCTCCCCAGCTTCCTCGGATGTTCCTGAGGAAACGGGTGGGGAAGGCCAGAAGCTCTGCCACTGGGGCAGGAGCTACTTGTGACAGCCAGCTGGAGAGGCCTGGGAGACACCCCAAATGCTCCAGTGAAGGGAGCCCCACCATGCACGCTTTGGGATGGACAGTCCCCCATGTAGTCTCTCCTCACCCCACCCCTTGTCTGTGGCTCTGACCTAGGATGCAGGACCCAGGCAGTGCCCATGCGCTGTGCTTCCCTGCTAAGCCCTACCAGGGGGAAAGAGGGGCTGATGTGGGCACCCTCCCTGGGATGAGTGGTGACCCAGATTTCCCTAGGGATCCCAGGCACCATCTGTAAGGGACAGGACATCTACTAAGTGTCTCGCCAACCTCCCAGTGACCAAGAAATGTACAAGACATGCTGGGCCCAGCATTGTAAAAGATGCGTTGATGCTGTACATGGCCCCCAAGGCTGCACTGCCCGGCTTGGGGGTGCTGCAAGGTCACCTCTGGTGGGCCCGTGCCCGCTGCTTTCTATAGCTCCCACTCTCCTGGAGTGCAGATGGTTCCCCTACTGGTCAGCAGGGCCCTGCTTGGGGAGTCAGCAGCCTGAGTTCTGTTAGTTTCTGCAGTTTTGACAAGGCTCTGCAGCAATGGGTCCTCAGAGACTAGTCTCTTCTGGCCACAAGGAGCATGATGCATGCCAGCATTGTCAGCCAACATCAGCAGTCTGTGGGTGTGGGCCGGGGAGATGGCTCAGTAGAGTAAGTGCTTGCCTGGCAAGTGCAAGAGTCTGAGTTCAATCACCGGTTCTGCCCTCCCCCCCCCAAAAAAAAAGAAGCAGCAGCATGCAGGTGTGAGGTCACAGACCCTTGCCCAGCTCCAAATGAACCCAGGCTTCTACTTCATGCAGTGCCTGGCCAGAGCCACTCCCTGTGCTCCAGTGTCCTTGACTGTAAGAGAAAGAAGGCTGACAGTTCTGGCAAGTGCAAGGATCCAAGTTCAATCTCCAGTACTGCGTGCCATGTCAGTCCAGTGCGCAGCTGGCTATCCAAAACCCAGTATGTGGGGAGGGTGAGACAGCAGGCTCACAAAGAGTTCAAGCTGTGCACCTGTGTAGCCAGACCCCGTACCAAATAAACGATTTTTTTTTTTTTTTTTTTTTTGCAGAACCGGGATTGAACTCAGGCCCTTGCACTTGCCAGGGAAGCGCTTGTTCTATTGAGCCATCTCCCCGGCCCAATATATGATTTTTTAAAAAGCCAAGATAAAGATAGTCTTCCCTTAGGGTCTGATAACGTACATCAAAACAGCTTTGGCCATGTGAACCACAGAGTAAGAGGATCAGCAGCTCTTCTCTGCCTGCCTCTAGCAGTGAGAGGCACCAGGCCTACCAGGAACCCAAGTGCTGAGGCTGCTCCTCCCAGATCTGGGTCCCAGAAGGTCAAGTGCCAGCCGTGGCTGCTGGGTGCTGGCGACAGGAAGGGTTAGCTCAGAGCCGAGGGACTGGGAATTTAATCTGGGACGACCCAGGGAGCTTCCTTGGATGGGGCCCCAACACTGGCTGCTGCCCACCCCCCACCCCACCCTGCCCTTTGATGTGCAAATGACAACGGGGGAGTCCGGAGCCTTCCAGGGCCCCTGGCCACTGCTTCTCACACCGGCGGGGATGGCTTGGAAGTAGGGGTGGGGGTGGATGGTGGGTTTCCAGCCCGGATCCTGGGCCAGGGACACAACAGTCAGCTCTCTGGGGAACGCCCCTGTGCTCAGAGGTCACACACAAACTTCAGCCCCCTCATGCTCTCATACCTATGGAGATAGCGACTCAGGGTTCAGATCCCTGATTCCAGAGAGAGTGGGTCCCCAAGATCCAGCTGAGACCCTTCTGTGGGGGGCAGCTGGAGGTGACCCAAGTTCTTGCAGCTGCCCACCATTCCCTTGTGTCCCTACCCCCAATCTAGATGTTCAACAGGGCGTCAGAGGGCTGGGGCCAGGGCCAGGGGAGTGCCCCACAGCCCAGCTCCAACCTTGCCCCAAGGAACACCTGGGGACCACCAAGGAGCCATCCATGCCTTCTCCTTGGCCCTGGCCACCTGCAAAGCATGGCCTCCTGAGATGGGAGAGAGACAGCCTAGCCTGGTTACAGGCCTCTCTGAGCACTCAGCCCAGCCCCCCCCCCCCCCCCCCCCCCCCCAGAAAATGCCCATCCCCTTCACCAGTTGCTATCAGGCTGCCTTGGAACCTGGAGAGGATTCCAAACAGACTTTCCGTCAGGAGTGGTAGCTGTAGGCCTGGGGACTCCCCTGCCCCCAGTGGTCACTGCATTGCAGGCTAGCTTGTAAGTTATTGCTTTTGGTTTCTGCTGTTTTGTTCTGTTTTTGCTGAACTGGGGATTGAATTTTGGCCCTTGAGCTTGCCAGGGAAGCGCTTATTCTACTGAGCCATCTCCCTGGCCCCTGGTCTGGTCTTGTCTTGTTTTGTAGAGACTGGGTGTGGTAGTACAAGCCTGTAATCCCAGCTCTTGGGAGGCTGTAACAGATGGATCACTACCTGTCCAGATCTAGTAGTGAGACCCTGAACACCCTATAGATCCCTCCCTAAAATAAAAAATAAAAAAAACTTACTTCGCTTTATTTTGGTTTTTGTTTTTTTGGTGCGCAGGGGGGTACCAGTAATTGAACTCAGGCCCTTGGGTTTGGCAGGCAGGTGCTGTGCCACTGAGCTATATGCCTGGCTGGGTTCTTGCTTTTAGAAACAATGAAAATTAAATCTATAGCACTATCGTAGAACTTGGAGGTTGAGGAAGGATTGCTGCAAGTTCAAGGTCAGCCTGGATAGATAGTAAGTTCGAGGCCAGCCTGTCAAAACAAACTAAAGCACAAATTAACTGGAAAAAAAAAAGTTTAATTGGAAAGTAAGAATGGTGAGTGACTTCAGGTTGACGAGCTAAGATCACAGTGGCCTGGGGAGATGGCTCAGTAGAATAAGCGCTTGCCTGGGCCTGAGTTCAATCCCTGGTTCCGCCAAAACCCCCCCTCCCCCCAAAAAAAGAAGAGCTAAGATCAGGGCACAGGCAAAGGCAGGTTGAAGGATCAGCAAGGCTGGGGTTCCCTAGATCATTCATCCTGGAATCCCCATGGCTGACATACATTCTGTTCTCATGAAAAAAGGGGCAGGGTTACAGCTCAGGGGCACAGTGCCTGCCTGGCAAGTACAAGGTCGTGAGTTCTATTCCAGGTACCAAAAAAATTTTTTAAAAATTAATGTTTCCATGAAAAGGGGTCTCCAGGGGCTGGGGAAATAGCTCAGTAGAATAGGCGCTTAAGAAAAGGGGTCTCGGGCTGGAGAGATGGCTCAGTGGTCTAAAGCACCTACTTGAAACAAGCTTGGCAAAGCACAGGGACCAGGGTTCGATCCCCCAGCACCACATGCCAGCCAGCCCCGCCCCCTGGTGGGCTGAGCTGGCCACACACACACACAATAAATAAATGTAATAAATAAAAATAAATAAATATATTAAAAAAAAAAAAAGAAAGGGGGTCTCTGTTCTTGCAGTTTTAGTCACATGGGCTGGGCTGGGGGGAAAGCTCAGCAGTCTAAGCGCCTGTGCAAGGACCCAGGTTTGATCACCAGTACCACATGCCATGCTGGTCCTGGAAGCCCGGGAGCGCCATGTTGACCACTGAAACTGGGCATGGTGGCACACACCTATAATCCCAGCACTGGGGAGGCTGAGACAGGAGGATCACTAACAGTCCAAGCTGCGTAGTGAGACACTGTAACAAATAAATAAATAAATAAATAAATAAATATTTAAAAAAATTTAAAAGGCCAGTCACATGGGACTTCTGCTTGTTGGGGAATCCACGTGATCAGATTTAGGACAATGGCTAGAGACTTCTGGACACAGCTGGATGTCCCTTGGAATCGAACTCAGGATCTTGTACTTCCCAGGCAGGTGCTGTGCTGCTGAGCTATATCCCTGTCCCTGTCCCTGTAAATCCCTTATCTCAGTGTTTCTGTCCCAGAGGGGACTGAGCTCATTCAACCTCGGCTCCCCACCCTTTAGACAGCCACACTCAATGACCAACATGGCCATAAGCACAGCCCAGAGGGAACTGGACTCAAAGATTCACAATAACAAAATGAAGGCAAGATTTGTTCTGCTTGTAGCTATCTATCTAGTGGGCATTTGTAGGCCTACCAAAGAGTTACAGTTTTTAGTAAAAACCGCTTTGAAGCGCCTGGCTACCTTTGGAGAAAACCCAAATCAAGCTCTTCAGGTGAAGAGCTCAGGATTCTCCATCCCTATAGTGGTCTCCTTGTCACCTCTACCGTCCCAAGTGTCCCTGGAGCTCCTGGGGCTCAGGAAGAGGGATCCTAGGCAGCACCTTCTTCCCTTGCCTTGCACTGGGGTAGTGCTTTCCTGCAAAGCACTCCGTCCCGCCTCCACCAGTTAGGATCCACTGCCTGGCATGGTGACAGCTGTGGGCTCACTGTCAGGCGGGTAGTTAGACATTAACAGACCTAAGAGACAAAGAAGGGGCAGGGTCCATAAGAGCCTTGCTGGTTAAGGTCAAGAAAGAGCATGACATGCTATGTGGTATGTTTATAGTTATCTGTCAGGTCTCAGACCCCGAGCGATCCCACAGAGACATGTTAGGTTACACACTGGTGCACATTCCTTCTGATATCTGGGTATCTTTTTCCAAAACAGGATATTCAGCGTTCCTGGGTGCCAGGGCTGTTGCCCAGTAGTGCTGCACAGGGGAGCATTCTTTCAAGATCCTTCCTCCTGCGGCTAAGACCTGATTCACAACAGAACTTATCTTCTAGAAATTTCTTAATGGCTAAGTCCCCTGAGGGAACATCAGCCATCTGAAAAGAGTAAGATACTTTAGAGATATGGACATTTCAAAGCAACCTCTAATAAAAATATTGATAAACATCACAATTACCACTGTCCCCTGAACTCCAGAGAAACTGTCGAGAAGGCATCGCTCTGGCTGTATTTGCTTTACAGTAAACTCTGTCTAGGCTTCCACATGGCTGCCTATGTGTCTGGACTGGAATCGTTCATCAGAGACACGAAAACCAAGGACGAAGGACCGACTTCCCAGTGAGATCACCCCACCTGTCAGAGCCTGGCTCCCCACTCCTGCTCCGGCTTAGGAAAGAGTCTTGAAGCTCATCTAGAAACATTTATTTACAATTTTTCTTAGAAAAAAATTTTTTTACAGATCTGGTTCTTTGTTAATTGCTCAGGTTTGAGTTTTTATGCAAGGTGAGAGGGAGTCAGGGTGGCCACTCTAGGCAGTCCACTGTCCATCGAGGACTTCTGCCCAGCTGGCTGTGGAGCTGGGCTTCCCTGAGATCAGTCCTAGGGCCCTGTGAGAGGTGCCAGGCTGGGCCTGGGGCAGTGTTGGCATGAGGGGCAGGGGCTGGTGGCCGCAGCCTGGAGACTTTGCCTTTGAGGGTTGGATATTATCCTCCAAGAATAGCTGGGCCATAGAGCCCTCGGCCTCCCCACTGGGCCGGGAACTATTGGCTGTTGGTGATGAACCACTGCAGCACGGCCTCCTGGTTCTCCTTCACCCAGTTTATGTTGGCTCGTGTCTTCTCCAGGGCCTGCTCCAGAGCCCGGGTGCCCGAGCCAAAGCCTATATCTTTGTTGTCCTCCTTGAACTCCTCCAGCTGCAGGGGAAACAAAGCTATCAGCCCCATGGGGGTCTCCACCACAGCCTTGAAGAGGGAAGGGGGTTCCCAGGGAGAGAGGCTGTACCCAGTGCCCTGGAGCCACGTCCTCCCCTGCCCAGAGCCTGCCAAATGACAGCCCCAAGGTTCAGGTGTTTAACTGAAGTATGATCTCAATCCAATCAAGAGAGGTGAGAAGGGCCAGGGAGATAGCTCAGTAGAATAAGCACTTGCCTGGCAAGTGCAAGGTCCTGAGTTCAATCCCTGGTAGCGCAAAAAAAAAAGGAAAGAGGCAAGAGGGACAAATCCGACATCTATAACTATAGCCAAATTGAAAAATCTTGGAAATTATTAAATCACCAATGAACCAGGTAACTGAATCAATAAGTAGCTTTTATAAAAGGGCAGAGGAGCCTGGGGAGCTCAGTGGCACAGTATTTGCCCTAGATTTGATCCCAGCACCACAACAAACAACCCCCTAAATCCTGCTACAGGTTAGAAGATGTATTGGCACTGGAGGTTCTGGCCAATTAGGCAAGAAAATGGAACAAAAGGCATCTAGAAAGGAAGAAGTAAAACTCTTTTGGGAGATAACTCGATTTTGTTTACATAAAATCTTAAGAACTAGGGCTAGGGGCTGGTGAGATAGCTCAGCAGACTAAGCGCCTGCTTAGGCAAGTGCAGGTACTAGGGTTTGATCCCTGGCACCACATGCTTCGCCAGCCATGGCCCTTCCCCCACCCTGGGCTGGCTGAGCCGGCAGCAGAGACTGAGCGTGCTGGCGTATGCCTGTAATCCCAGCGCTGGGAGGCTGAAAACAGGAGGATCACTACGAGTCCGAGTTGCACAGTGAGACTCTGTAGACCCTGTACTAAATACACGTTTTTTAAAAAGTGAAAGTAATAACACTCAGAAAATAAAAATAGGCTTGAATCTTTGTGAACTTGGTAAGGCAATGGTTTCTCAGACATGACACCTAAAGCACAAACAATGAAATTTCATTAAAATTAAAAGTTTGGAGCTAGGGATATAGATCAGCAGCATAAGCACCTGCCTGGCAAGC